CACAGAAAACAATCCAGTTACGCTTCTCATTAACCCACTTAAATACAAAAAACATAAATTTCACAATCGAGCGATGCTGAATTTCCGGCTCGAAGGACCAAATTAGATTGAAGTCATAATATTGCAAACTTAACAAGATCGTTTTTTCTCTGCATAAAGAAATTATGAAGAAAGTTATTAATGCCAGCTCGTTGCTCATCGTTTCAGCTAAACTGTTTGTCATTGATGGGATGGGCGGTGGTGGATAGTTGGATTGTGGATGGTGTAGAAGCCCATGTGGATAAATTCAATGAGAATGTTCAATGGATGTGCATATACGAGTATGTACGCTTCGGATGTGGGCACTGAGCCAAGACCAAGGGAAGGAGGATGGCTGGCCAAAAATGGAATGACACCGAAGACAGGCAAGCGACAGCAGAGTACTAAAGATATTGACCATTTTTAATGCAATTAAAAAATGGGCCTTCTATTTTTGTTGTACCTTCATGGAGTAGGACAATTTTGCTGGTTACTGTAGGGACGACAGTGTTACTAAGGTCCTTTACAATTTATAGCTCACTGTGCTGTTTCCCTGAGCTATTCCAACGCTTATCGCCGGTGGAAAACTGAGGCAGGCAGGTGGAGGCGAGAAGCAGAAAGAGCAAAATGGAAACAAAACACTGCCTTTGATCGGTGGCTTTTGATAAGCGTCAATGGCACAGACAGTGCAGAGGATGGAGGATGGGGGATGGGGGATGGGGGATGGGGGATGGAGTGGAAGGAACTGGGGAAGGACCTCGTTGCTGCTGGCAGTGAATCAGATTTTGCTCTCTCCCTCTCTCTCTCATTATGCATTACATTGTGCATTGTAACCAAGGTGAGTTGACTCATTCAAACTTGTCGCCGGGAATTTGGGACAACTGCAAAAGGGGTCGCAGGCGGTTGGTTCTGCAGAACAGGTGACTTTTCTTTGTCTAGCCGCAAAAGTGGAGCACCGACGATGCTGACCAGGCACCACCATCAGCGAGCATTGCACTGCGCACAATATATGCCTGTAGAATGCCTTACAAGATCTTTCAATACCGAATCCGGCTCGAAGGACCGTAATGTGAAAATGCTATAAGAGTAGGGTTTGTGCACATTAGGCTTAAGGATAATTAAGCACACTGGCCTACATTAGTTTTCTCTCTGTGTGCCAAATGCGATTACACCTCTTTCACTGCACACTTTCAGGCAGTCGCAGGAAAATGACTTCTTGAAAGGCAAAAGCCAAAAGCAATAATGTGAAAGAAACGAGAATTCGAGTGGGGCAACGAGAGAACAGTATTAGCATGCAATAACAATGAGTGCGATGTAGGTGTGAGTTCAGCTCTGTTCCATTCGGTTGGGGTCTCCAAAAAGAGGGGCGTGAGGTCGTCGGGCTGGGCTGGGCATGACTAATATGGGTCTCTCGCACATCGTTCTTCGGCGAGGTTAAAATCATTTGGGGGTAGTTCAAAGCCGGCGGCCCCCGTTTTTCACCGCGTTTTTCTTCGTACTTTCCCGTACTTCTGCTGCTTACTTCTGCTGTGGGTGTATTAGTGTGATAGTGTAATAGTATAATGGCGTGCCGACTGGCGGCAGTATGTAGGTGTTAAGTAATGACACACATACACAGTAGGTTAAGAGGGGGTGGCATTAGGGGTTATTCGCTGAGGTCGCCAATTATCTGGGACTGCCACAACACGTTGAATAGGCCCAAAAGCGTAATCGTATTTACGGACTTATTGGAAATCATTTCAAACATATGATCAAAGCGCAAGAGTTTCGATTTAATTAATAAAAATACAGTTTAGCACACTATTTTCTTGAATTTTTCCATAGAATATCTATATGCTATCAAAATGGCAAGAGCATTTTCCATTTACAAACAATAGTTAGTGTTGAAAACCTTTTCTAACTCCCTAATTTTAAGTTACCTTATGTAGCTTTATTATAGCTATCAAGCACACAACGAATGTATTTACATAAAGCTTAACCCTAGCCGTACTCTGCATTCCCCATTTATTATTTTCGCCGAATGGCTGATTCCTTGCTTGCTTCACTTTTACGGCTATCGCCTGGTAACTGGCTTTGCAGCCATGAATTCCACCTTATATAATTGAACAAGGATATAGTTGGCAGGACACCCATGCAGAATAGTTATGTGTGTGCACAAGCAACAGCTAAAAAGCCGCTTACCAACTGCAGTCGAAATTCATTGCATACCTTTTGGGGTCGTTTGGGTCTGGAGTCTGCTATCCGGTGATGAAATTCCACAAAACTTGTTCACTTGCCGCGTGTTCTACTCCACAACAAAAAAAAACGAGCAATTGAAAAAAGCACCATTCAAAGCAACTTCCTTCGGTCGAATTCCGCGAATAGTGTATTCAGCAAATATTCGCCTGCTTATTTGCTGCGAACTTGGGGCAAATTCGATTAGACGCGATAACCGTTCTCGGCGCCAAACGAACGCCGACTGAACTTATCAGTCACTCAACTGAACAGCGACCCGGCCAACAACTACAGTTGCAACTTCATATACACGCACGGTCTGACGCGTGTATGTGTGTGTGTATGTGTTGGTGTTGCGACGCCAACGAGCATGCAACAACAACATGTTGGACCGCACACAGACACACAGGAAAGAACAGTGGTGCGCGGCTATATGCAACGAAAGACAGTTAACTGTACTACAAGTATTCTATTTAAAATTGGGCTCACCAAACCATTGAGTTCAATTAAATATATTTAAAGTGCAAAATCTACGTTCGACTTTGACGAGGAATCACTGTACTTCGACACCAACACACTCTCAGTTGAGAGCCGAACTCTGTGGACTAGCGGACTATTGTTGACTGCACATTTCGTTTATTGCTTCTGCTTCTGTTTTCGGGCTTTTCATCATCCGGCCAAAGGGAAAATACGAAGTGCAGGGAAAACGGAGAAAGCAGAAAGCAGGAAACAGAGAACAGAAAACAGAAATGCAAAGGAACTTACTGAGGAACTAGGGGAACTATCACCGACCAACTGCAGTTCACGTATAGAGTGCAGCGTAAGCTTTTTTGGCCTGGGCATGGGCTTGGGCATGCTAATGGGGTCACCATCACCACGCCCACTGCATTCGCCACCCAAGCCCCCTTGTACTTTTACAGCTGCGATTGTTGTGGCAAAATGCAAAATTGATCAATTTGGGCGTCAAGACTGGCAGGGACTCTCGCTCTCCAACTTTGATGTGCCATCCCAGGACGAAACCCCACTCTGATTTTCTTGCCGCCCATCATGTGCAAATATATATAATGCATGCCCACATCCCGGGGACTTCCAGGCCAGACAAGCTCTCGCCCGAACGCCCTAATTGTGTTGGCAGTCATAATGCAATTGAAGGGTTCACTGCTGGCTCTCGGGTCGGATGTAGGGTGCTCTTGGTCCTTCGAGCCGGATAACGAGTGGGGTCTACTAATCGTCTCTATTGAATCTCTATAGACTGAAGTACAATGTATTTAATCGCAAGCGCTAACGCTTTCAAAATTTATCGTATTCTAGGCCTTGCTTAGATAACAAATTTAGGGAAATCAATTAAATTAGCTGACATGAAGGGTAACGGTCCGGCACCTATTGCTTGCACACAAAAGCGGCGATTCACTTCCATTGTGCATGTGTGCAAGCATCCTGCCGCAAAGTATCCTGCCACCCATCCGCTGCCACCCCCTGAAAGGCAGAGTTGCCACATAATTCGATTACCATACATGCAATCGCATGCAGTGCGCATCTGGTTTTGGCTAAAAGTGTAAGTACCCTCGCGCCCACCGCCCACCGCCCATCTCCCACCTCCCATTCAAATGGGAGTGGCACGCAACGCACTGATGGATGAGTCGCAGCGTTAAGTGGCGTTAAATCGGGGAATACGGAGCGGAGAGGCCAGAGTGTTTGCATTCAAACAGAGGCACAAAGAGAAAAACGTGCTTACAAATGCATCCCACATTAATTCAATCGAAACAGCTTAAAGATTTTATATAGGATAGGCTATGATTTCATGTTTTTCATGCATACTTTATAGATTTTAATTGCATTCTTTCCGTGTAAGCCGACATTAAGACTTATATGTCACCGGAACGGACAGCAATGGACGGCAAAGTGGAGATGATGGAGAATAGGTTGTAAGCACACTTTCAACCAAGCCACACTTAAATGTGTCAGCTGCACGACTCACAACCATGTCCGAAGTGTCACTAGGCGATTGCGAATGGCGAGGTGTGGGAGTCTGGATTGCGGATTGCAGGCTGCAGACTGCAGACTGGGGACGTGGACGACCCAGTGGCCAGGTTGGCCAACCGAACGATATGCGCATTATGCCTCAAGGGTCCTTCGGCCTCCACTTGCCGTGCCACACTGTTGTGGCATGGCCATCGCAGTTGCTGTTGCTGTTGCTCCACTTCTACTGCCACTTCCACTTCCTGCAAGCCAACCAACCCACACACATTCGCACACCCACTCATCCCGATCATATACAGATACGCAAACACACCCGCACGCACACACACACACGGCACGATTTTTAGGGCAGTTTGATGCACTGCCAAAAATTAGTCCACAAACGCAGCAAAGCTGTTTAGGTACCACCAAAAATTAAATGAATGTAATTTTAAAATAATTTACTTAAGAACAACTGCACCGAATTCCAACTGAAGAAGGAACTGAAGAATTCCAATTACTACGCCGCTGCATAGTAGCCAAAGGAACTTTTTCCAGTGTAGGCCGGCCACATTTTCTCCTTCGCTGGCCGTCCCTTTTTGTAGCGAGTTAATTGCATCAGTCACAGGCATCGAAATGCACAGGCAGTGATTGGAATTATGCTGTTGCATTAAAAATGGAAATTCTGTGCGCAGTATATATACTCCTACATACATATATACCATAAAACTTGACTGGCCAAATCTGATACCTCTCGGAGTGAAAATAATAATGAATATAGAATATGGGGAGCCATTATATAAGAAAAAAAATATATATATATTTACATAGATCCAAGCCCAGCTGGGAAATCAAATGGGAACCAAGCAAAAACACAATAGATAGACGGGCCCAATCCGATTTTCACATTCACCAATTGAGCCAAATTGAATTTTCCTATCGTATCTGATAGCATTTGCAGTTCATTGAAGGGTGACAAGCTTTTTACATTTTGATTTTCCATTATATGCGGCAAAGTTTTGAGACATGTGAAAATCGCTGAAGGTCCAAAAATTAAAGTACAGTTGTGCGCACGGCGACTAATCAATTTCGAGGGAACGTAGACTTTCTGTGACTCCTGAATCACTGGATTTTCGTTGGCCATTCTTTTTGCTTTTGTTTATTTGCCAGTTTTCCGAATCCATCAGATAGTCCCTGAAAAAGAAAGAACTAAGTAAGTATCTCTCCGACTAAATTTAGACGGGAAAATAGCTTACCTCTGTTCCTTGAGCAGCTGCATCCATTGGAGCTTTAGGTCGGACATCTTGCCCGCCTCTCCGCCGTATTCCTCCGGCAACATGGAGCGCGGAAAGTGGCGATATGGGGTGTCCGCATCCGGCAAGTGGAAGTGGATTAGCTTGAACACCTCGCCCTTGATGAACGGCTTAACCACAGCCATCACCTTGTCCACGTACGAGGGGCAGTTTAGCACGTGGATCTCCTTGAGCCGGACAGGATGCGCCTCCTGGACAAACTTCATGTAGACGCGTAGGGCGCCCAATGCGGTTTTGGTCAGGTGGCGCAGCGTATAGCCAGCCATGTCGAAAACAGGTATCTCGCCGTCCGACAAACGATCCTCGTTCTCCGTCGCAAATCGACAGTCAGCCACCATGAAGAAAACCTTGATGGCAGCCGTGAAGTTGAACTGTCAGAAGAAATACATATATATTCTGCATGAGCAAATATTCACAGCAAGATGGATACTATGACTAATAAATGAGTAAAGATGGTTTTACTACTCAATGTATAGTACTGTTCACCCACCTTGTCCGCATCGAAGTCGATCAAGCGGTAAAAGAGCAGCTTGTTGTTCTCCGGGGTCAGGCCGGGCAACGGCACCAGATCTCTGCAAGCGAAAATGGCAAGGAAAATGGTAGGTTAACATAATTCTGGCTACCCCATTATATTGTCCATCCAAACCAAACCGGTTGCCAGCTATTGCAAACCCATGCACTCTGTGTACACTAAGCGAAAAAAAAACAGGCCCCAAGTCAACATTGCATGTCTCTGAGCTCACAAGGCTTGCAATTTCTAAGCTAATATCACTCCAGCTAACGACATGACCTGAAACCCATACATTATTTCCAATTTCACAGGAATCTCAGCTAATTGAAAGTTGACTGAACATTCGCCACTAAAATCAAAGTCGCCATCAGCATTTTATGTCTCTATTGAAGCGCTTATCTGGCAATAAGTTTCTTTTATGGCTTTCTTGACGGTACTTATTTTTATAGATTTTATGGTGGTTTTTAGTAGATTGTAAGCTTGGTTTAAAAGTAAGGCCGTGATTTACTGGAAAAAAAAAAACATGATTTTGCTTGCAAATTAAAATGTAATAATTTATATTTGCTTATCTTCTCAAAGTATAAAACAGGTTTAGCCAGGCTTTTACATTTTTTTTTTTGACTCAAATTTATTAGCCCGACTGGGAAGTTTTTTTTTAATCTATTTCGGTCATTAACTTGAGCACATAAACAAATGCTTTTATCAAATACACAAGTAAATCGTAATTTATGTATATTCTGTTCATATTATTATCAGTTTTCTTTCGTATTTCATGTGTTAAGATAGTCTGGATTTGCTGGCCGATTATGGCGATTACCTGGATCCTAACTGCCGAAAGCCCTATATCTTCGTACTCACGCGACTTGCAGCAGCTGCTGCGAACTGGCATCCAGCGGATCGCGATCGATGAAGATGTGGCCATGCTTGTTGCGTAGTCCATAATTGAGTTCCAAGAGGCGCTGGGCGGCGGATAGGTCGCTCCTCGTCGTGTGCAGAAAGCGGCGCAGAAGCAATCGGGCTGCGTTGGAGGAGGACGGGTATTCAGGGATTCGAGTGAGTACAGGGGAGTTCGGGGTACAGGTGCACTCGTAAGTCACTGCGGTGCGATGGTTATGCAACTGCCTGCGGTTCCCATCGCTCAGGCAATTGACCCACACACAAAGTTGGCCAGGCCAACAATAAACACACAGTAAGAAATTTATTCACAACCAATTGCGATCATTTCGAAATCAAAGGAAAGAAGATATTATCCCTTAAAACTTGTAAATTACTTAGATATTGATATATTGCGTATTTTAACAACAATCAATTTCCATATATTTATTACAGAAGTGTAATATTACTTCACATTACTATAAAAAAAAACTTTGTAGTTAATATTTCAATCGGATATTCAAAACGATCGCGATTTCTAACTGTGCTCTCTTTTGGGGGGAAGATGAAAACTGGGTTTTTTGCAATCCGACCCATTTGGCAATTTAATATATACGAACATATATTCTGCGGCAGCTGTGGCTGCGACTTGAGCCAATCCTGCAGCTCCGAAATCCTGGTGGTCATCAGCTGATCCTCCGTTTTCTCATTTAGGTGCACCATTTCGAAGCGTTTACCGTTGTGCCGAAAGGGACGAACTATCGGACTTCCGCGAGTAGGCGAGACAGCAGATGGAGCGAGAAAGGAACACTTCGTGCGAGACACCGCGTCTGTGCGACGCTAATTCGCGACTGCAACTGATTGGAGCATTTTTTTTGGCTTCTCGTCGACTCGCTCTGCCGCTGGAACAGTGGAACCTCTGCCGACGTCGCTGCCTCTGCCGGCATCGCAAATGATAAGTGCTTGAATAGTGGTGCAAAGGAGAAGAGGGGGGAGAGCACAGAGGGGATAAGTCTGGCAACTAGCTGTGCGATCAGTTGCCTTTTAGAGTTGCCATCTCGCTTTCCCATGGATTCGCGGCAGGAAATATCCTGTTATATCAAATATATAATATTCGAATATTACATTTTGAGAAGGTTTATAATGTTTATGTTTATTGGATTTAAATTTGAGCTTTCTTTTGATTGCCTTTATCTCTATTGCTGACTCAAATCGATGATTTAGATTAGCTTTCATTAATTTAGTTTTTTTTACCCACATGCTAATTTATTTGCACTGAAAAAAAGACTATCCGAATAATGAGGTATCGTATATTTGATTTTTCATCAATTTTTTTTAACTATTCCAAGGTATTATTATTGAATGTGGTTAGGGCAATATTTCCTTTTTCATTTTTTAAATAATTTATTTGGCTGCCGCCGCTGAATAACTCCACATTCAGTAGCTATTGCGCAATTTCCATGATTAACTTCACTGTGCCAGAAGGTCGGAAGCCGGCAGGTGTGTTGGCTTCTTTTTCTATGCATTTTCGCGTGTGCGTATTGCGTGGGTGCTGTGCGGTTTTTCCGGCTTTCCACCACTCGTCTTCGGCCATTGCCATGTTTGGCGGCATTTTTTTTAACCCGATCTTAGCTCGCTGTTTCTGTTGTTATGCCTTTGTTTTTGTTTGGCTTTTGGCTTTATCGCGACATTGGCAAACAATTTTCGGCAAGGCAAAGTCTCGCACCACTTGTTATGCTGCTCTGCTCCCGGCTGAACTGGCCAACTGAACTGGCTTGGCTGCGACTGCTTCGGACGTGTTTCGCAAGTTAAGGCCCAGTCCGAACCCAAAGCCAAACTATTTACAACCGACCACTCTGAAGCGGCGACCGCAAAGCATGAACATGAATTAAAACAAAACTGTCAACAGAAACCAAAAAGTAAAAATGAAGCAGTCGCGGCGAAAGCGAATATGGGTACATTTATCTTGATGGTCTGCAGAACAGCGCACGAAACTCGAATTTACGTGTATTGCAATGCGAGTTCTACAGTAGAATATCTGTTCATAGCTCGAAAATCGTATGATCATTCCATTATATTCAAAATGTGCATTAGGAGCAGTGTAATCTTAAGTAAATTAAACATTTTAGATTTTGACTACAAAACTCCATTGCAGTTTTCGCATGGAGATTCTAGAACATTACGCATACGACGTGGGGGCCTTTGTAAATATAGTAACTACATTTATTTCAACCAATCAGTTGTTGTGCATAATTTGAGATATTTTGAATTCACTTATAGCCTTTGAAACTATAACCCAAAATAAATCATACGACGCGTGGGCACTACAAAATATATAAGTTACTCCCAAGTTTTTAATTAAAATGTAACCATATTTAGTGTTCAGACTACGGAAGTATTACTGTACCAATTTAATGCAGCTGTAAACTTATTAAGCAGCAAAAACACGCATAAGTTGACATTTGACTATCTTGAAAACAGCTGAGTGGCCTTGAAAATGGAACTTAGCCGACCCATAAACGCTTTAAAACAATGCCCAACCCAGAGGTTTGGTAAAAAAGTGCTAACTGACAATTTTATAATGGTCAACGTACGATTCGAGATATACGTGGAGTTGGGAATTATGGTCATGTGAATAGTACGCTACTTACTTGGCGCTTTGCAGCGACCTTAGTTGTTGGGTGGTGCACTGAGAGAAAACCATTATGAACATACATGTTTCATTTTGATGATTTCCAATGGGGCTTATACCATTATTTGTTCACAAAACTGCGATCTCTCTCGTATTTAGGGGAGGAATATTAAAAATTCCTATCGGCAAGAGTGTCAATCACGGCAAAGTACATTTAGCAATAATGCACTTGCTGTTTGCCAACTTTGTTTGCATCATTTTGCAAATCAATTAGGTAGAGTTTTAGCACTGCCTGCTAATTGCGGTCGCAGCATCATCAAAGCAAATTGGTGCCTACAAGTCATGCAAATCAGTTGCATTTCGGCAACGCAAAGAGTGATACATGCTTTTTCAGATAAGGCAAAAAGCAAAGGCATCAGAAGCTTCGAACACTCCAATCATCGCAAAAAAAATTATCATTGGATGTGGTGTAACCTGCGATCGGTCGAAAAATGGGGTTTTGCTGGCTCAATATCTTAACCTACGCACTAACTTAACATAATTGCTTCACACTACCTCAGACCACTTCAATCAAATATTTCTTCATGCATTCTGGGACATCAATAATGAGGGTTTATTTACCATTCTTTTCAGCTGATTTGCCCAAATTATACTTTCAAATACTTTTGATGAATTTTGTGTTCGATAATGTGTCTTAACGCAAAATGCAAATAGTTTAAAGTTATTGTATAACGTATAGAAATCTAACTTTAATAAAGTATTTCTGAATTCCTAATTAATTTAATTTGAAGTAACGCTTTTCCGTTACGTTAAATATGACCAGCGTCATACAACGTCACGTAACGATTGGCACATCGATAGGCGCTGGGTGCACGGCGTGCCACCGCTAGGGGATAGTGTGACCGTGCGCATGTGAAGAACACAAACCAATGGAATAAAGTAAAAATTGTATATTTTATAGCGGAATAAAATGATCTGTCGCCTGTGTCTGAACGCGCTCGACGAGCAGAGCGCGGTGGTGCTGTTCGGCGGCGCCGGCGGAGCCAGTGCACCCGCTCCGGAGGACGAGGACGACGGGAAGGCGATGCCAGAGAGCTACCTGGTCCAACTGATCTCTATTCACTTGTACCTCTGCGTGAGTATCTGCTGATGATTCTTCTGCCCACCGCCTCACCCTAATGCTACCGCCCATCTACCACAGCTCTCCCGCGACGATGCCATCTCCACATGCATCTGCACCGAGTGCTGCTCGCAACTGGAGAGCTTCCACAACTTCTGGAAGCTGGTGGAGCTGAAGCAGACGACGCTGTGCAGCCAGTTCCTGGCCATTGATTGCGATGTCAACTGGTCGGAGGACGGCAGCGAAACGCAGTCTGATGCGCAGCTGCAGTTGCTGCTGGAGCCGGCGGAGGAGCCCAAGGTGGTGACTCCTACAACGGCCAATAAGTTTCCCTGCATGTTCTGCGAGAAGTCCTTCAAGATGCGTCGCTACCTGGAGGAGCACATAGCTACGCACACCGGCGACCGACCCATTGCCTGTCCCTACTGCGAAATGGCCTTCCGCTGCCGCTCGAATATGTACACCCATGTGAAGAGCAAGCACACCAAACAGTGGCTAAAGGCGCGTGAGGAGCGGGATGCGGCTAAGTCGAACCAGAATCACACGACGCCGGAGGAGCCTGCTGCAGCACCTTCTGCTTCTGCATCTCCTGGAAACACAGTAAATCCTGCTATTTCGACACATCCCGCTGCTACTGCTACTCCTGCTCCCTCTGCAACTCCCACCACCAATCTCGTAGCAGCTCCTCTTCCCTCACCACCAACTGTTCAACAGCTGCCCCTGTCGGTGATCAAGAGTCAGCCCAGTGAGGCCATTAACCTCACCATAACCAAGACCCCGCCATCTGGCAGTCGGGGCTCACGCAATCGATCCAGTCGTCGGAAGACGCACTCGCCCAAAAAGGTCCAGCACACGGAGGGCAGCGATGTTAGCGACGAGGATTCGCCACAGAAAAGGCTCAAGGAGAACGAACTCATACTGGCCAATTACAATGCGGTAGCCGCGGCTGTCGTGGCAGCCGCTTCACTAACTGGCAATCCTCCAGGACAACCGGATGGCCTGCAGCAGCGTCTGTGCGCGAGCCTTCTGCAACAACAACAACAGCAGGAGCAACTCTTTGCCGTCATGTCGGCAACGGCGGCTGCAGCGGCGGCCGTGGGAACGAGCAGTGCCACCACAACGACGACAACGACAACCGGGACTGTGATGGCGCATCCCTATGGGTAAGTCGGTTGGATACTCTAGCAACAATCAGGCTTATTAACAAATCTGCCACAGCAACCCGCCTTCAGAGACGGATAAACGACCGACTGCTCCGCTACAGGCCGTCATCCATGCCGCACCCGTTTCGATCCTTTGTCCCAACTGCGGGGAGCTTCCTGGTCAGAATCATCGCTGCATGAGCAAGCCCAAGTATGCATGCGATGTGTGCGGCAAGTCCTTCAAAATGAAGCGCTATTTGGAGGTGAGTACTCCTGCTCCAGTAATCTGCGCTGCATGGTTATTAATGCATTCTTCTGCGATCAGGAGCACTTTGCCACCCACACGGGCGTCAAGCTGCACACCTGCGCCTTCTGTCCCACGGAGTTTCGCTCCAAGTCGAACATGTACCACCACACCAAGCGCAAGCATAAAGCAGAATGGGAGAGGTCGCGGGCCACGCGATCGGCGGCCAAGGCTGGCGTCCAGGAGCAGATGCAGCACCCCATCCCGTCACAGGAACAGGCACAGGCTCAGCCAGGACCTGCGGCTGCTCTCTAGTGCAGCTGGCACCTGGACGTGGTGCACTCGTAGTCTTAGACCCTTACAATTACAAATATATTTTTTGCATATTAGCCATACCGAATGTACTTATCTGACGTTTCGTGTACTCCACAAAGTCCCGGCGTCCCGTCGCCTGGCACCTATTGTGTATACTCTTCTCGTTCTCTATAATGCCTTAACCAGTTGGATTGGATCTGGTTATAAAGTAAACATTCATTTAAAAAGAAAGAGGTTTGTGTACTAATTTGGTTGGGCTTACTGCTAATTGGAGATGCCACAAATCCGGTGGATATATTCATCGATCTTGTATAGCCTAAGTTATGCTATGGCATACATACAATTGCATTGCATCTGGAGAAATCCCTGATCGTAATGCTTACAAGTTTATTTCATTTTAGCAATTTATACAATTTGTTTTTACAGTAAAAGTACAACAAATCGGGGTTATTCACGGTTCATGAACATTATGGTTAATTCAATAAATAAGGAGTTTGGCCCAAGAGATGGGTGAGCTGCATAGATCACACCTGCACCTGTGCACTTTTGGATTCAACTCCGTATTTATTGCACTGGTCATTAGGCAAATATCCCCTTAACGCTAGAATGGGAGGATTGTGTGTGATTTAAAAGTATAGCCGCGGCTTTACATTGCGATGATGATTGCGATGAAATTGAACTGGTATCTGCTAACCCTAACCCTATGCCTGGCTGCTAGCTGCCCCACTGAGATTGGTGCTGCTCCACTGGAGTTGGCTGCGGTTGAGCGCGTGTCTGCTTCTGTGTCTTAATGCTTAAACTAAGTGCTGCGCAGCAGAACTGCGGCTGTTGCTAAAAGGGTCTGGTTCTACGATCGCTTGCTGCGCGCCTGCGCCTGTAGCAGATCCACCGACGGCACCGAGAAGACAAACGACAGGCAGCCAAATCGCAGCAGGCTGCCGTGTGCCAGCACCGCCGATCCTTCCCAGGCGCCGGCCACCATGGGCACGGGTCCGGCGTTAATGCAGCGGCAGGCGGGCTTAACAATGGGCGCCAATCTGTAGGGGATTACACAACAAATAGTTATCATCATTTGATTGTTGGGTCAGTAAATAGCTACCGCTCTTTGCCGATCTTCTTTGTCTCGAACTGGCGGTGAATGTGCCGCCGCTTGTCCAACAGATCGTCGACGCGTCTCTTCAGCTCCGCATCGTCGGGTCGCATCCGCTTGCCGGCATGAGTTGGCATCCTGTCGGTCAGGTCGCAGGCGTACAGCTGCCCATTGACCTCGGTGCCGAACTCTGAGTAGTTGATCAGCTCGTACGACTTGGAGAACTCGTCGTAGAAGATGATGGCGTGCTGCGGCGATATGCGGCAGCAGTAACCAATCGCCGAGAGGTCCACGGTCTCCATTTGCGCCAGCGTCGTTGACGGCGAGTAGTGTCCACCGTAGCCAATGTATAACGTACGGTAGCGCATGAAAATCGAATGGTCTAGCCCCAGCGAACTGAACCAGCGGCTGTCCTCGAGCATGTCGCCCAACGGGGTTATCACCGCGCGCGCCTGCACCTTGCATTGCAGCAGCTTGAGCTCCAGGCGCGAGGCCAGCTCGTAGGCCTTCTCCGTGTCGCTACGGGCACGCGGCACATAGCACTCGGCAGCTGCATCCGCTGCTGCAATGGCCGCCGCGGTGGCCAGTGCTGGATGCAGAGCCATTGCGGGATCCTCGTCGGCGGCATTGCCGTTCTTTTGCGCCAGAATCGAGGACGTTTCGCTGGTGAAGAGCAGCGAGAAGCGGTTCATGTCCTCCGGTGCCAGTTGGCCTTGCAGGGCAGCGGTTTCACCGGCTACATGTGCTCCATCGGCAGCTGCCAGTTGACGCAGGCGACGAGCGGCCGTGCGATTCTTGTACTGCGTCACAATCTCCGGATGCTCTTCGACCAGCTGCTGCAGTCGCTGGTGCGCCAGCTTTTTGATAATGTCGACGTCCAGATGAAAGAGATCCGCATCGATGATGCCAGCCTTGCTGTCCTCCTCGTCCTCCTCAAAGCTGGCCTCCAGCTCTAGGCTGGCCTTGGACTCCACCTTGACAACCGACGGCTGATCATTGGCCTGCACATTCGATTCGGTATTGGGATTCTCCGAAACAACTTCGCCATTAACCTTGTCGGCTGGAGAGACCGTCTCAGGCTCCTGCTCTTCAGGACTGTGATCGCTGTCGCTATCGCCATCAACCGCAGTCTCCACAGTGCCGTATTCCCGTTGAATCTCACGGAACTTGGCTCGAGCCGAGCGCAAGGCCTCCAGGTCCTTCAGCAGCGATTCGGTGACCGACTCTCGGGATATCTCCTCAACTTCGGTGGGCAGGTTCTTGCGCCGCTTTACCCGATCGTAGCGCAGCGTTTGGCGCATGGAGGGCAGCAGCGCCGGTGGATGCTTGTAGTGGTAGCGCACAATGGCTGGCACCTCGATGTGGGCACGGGCATGCACATTCGTCTTGGTGCGAAAGGGCGGATGGCGCGTGTTGACACGCCGGAAGAACTCAAGCTTGACGTTTTCATGGTCAAGTGGCTGGAGGAAGCGATTCCACAGGCGCACCCGCTCCGTGGCCGAAATGCTGTTGGTCATATTGGCATCCTGTGAACAGACATCCTCATTAGAACCCAAGGGGACTTCCATTCGCGTTGGCTGACTTACGATAAAATTCTCGGCATGATTGGGGCACATCCACAATCCAGCTGGCAGTGCCGTCAGCGGGGGATCCAGACAATCCTGGTGGTAGTAGAGCGGACAGTAGTCGCAGGAGATGAGCGGCGCCCGTTTGCAGGAGCGTGTGCAGTAGAAACAGGTTTTGGCGGGCAGCGGCACCAGTCCCTGGGCGTCCAGCTCGAAGGGCTTGGAATTGCGGCGCTGATTGCCGGCGCACTTGCGGTGTCCGCCATTTCCGCTCGGCGGATGCGTCTGCTGTACGGGCTGCACCTTGCCATTTCCCGGGAACTGGGTGTGCAGCTCGAGCTCCGGTGGCAACGAGAACTGCTGCGGATTCAGCATGCTGGCCGCCCGGATGACATCGTCCAGCGGCGTTGGCTTCTTGTTGGGATCGAGGGCGCGCTGTATGGCCAGCGGCATTTTGGCCAGCAGTTTCTCGGTGCTATTGCGTTCGCTGTTGCTGCGTTTGCGCAGGTTGCGGATCTTTAGCGGTATGGACTCCAGATCGCCAGAGGAAGGGGTATTCGCACGGGATCCACTGCCCGCCGAGGGCACGCGCTCCACGGAACTGGCCTTAGAAGAGGAGGCCGGCGGCTGGGAAACTTTGGCCATGCGGCAGCTGTGGCACAGCCACTGGCCACTGGGTATGTCCTCCTCGCTCAACGGTGGGTCACTGCGAGGAAAGCACAGCATTACGCTTAAGGAGAAGCCCTCAAAATGGGCAGCAGTATGCGTGTATACTCACTGGCATTGCAGGTGGAAGCTGGAGGGGCATCGATCGCAGCACAGCAAATTGCCGCCCTCCTCGCAGGCGTCGCAGTAGTCATGGTTGTGGCCTCTGCCCGGGCGCCTGTAATACGGATGCTTCGTGTTGGTGGTTCGCTGCACCAGCTTCTCGTCCTCGTTGGGCGGTGGGCGGATGAGCTGCTTGATTTGCTGCGCGAATGTAAAGTAAAGGGGGAAATGGATGGCATTTGTGCATGCGTTAATGTGGCATCTCTTGGGCAGCCCCAGTCGATTGCAATTGGAGCGCCGGGCGACGGAAACACGGGAGCAGACGGGCGTCCCGTTCCGGCGGCAAACTCACCTCCATGATGCTCAGCGAAGCATTGGGGTCCTGGTCCACTTTCGACATCTTTTTCGCTGGCTCCTCTTATCCGGTGTACACAATCAATCTCGGAGCGACTTCACTTGTAGACGGAGGCGGGCGCAGTGTAGATTATGCAGCCCTGCGCATCCGACGCGCGGCTGGCCACACTGCGCGCCCATCGATAGGCGATCAACGGAAATTCAGTGCTGACTGTATTTCACTCCAAATCTATCTACTTTAATTGATACTTGCGATTAATACCATTTTTTTCGGATTTTGGTATATATTTGTAAGTGTATAAGTATAAAAATCAGTATAAAAATCAGTATAAAAATCAGTATAAAAATCAGTATAAAAATCAGTATAAAAATCAGTATAAAAATTAAAAACTCCAAATTCCCATATTTTTCTCAGCCCTTATATACCTTTTTAAAATTCGAGCACAACACTAGCACCCGCAAATTTGGCCTAAAGCACGCTAAAAGAGCATCTCAGCTGGTCGACGACGCAATTCGCCAGTTTATTTTAGCAAACAATAGGACAAAACAGAGCAATGTTTTCGATTTTCGGGAAACGCAAGCCCGCGGAAACACCCACAGAGGATCAGCCCATCCAGGGGCCGGCGGATGCCTCCCGTCCAGGCACGAGCGGCGATGATTTTGTGTTTATAGAGAGGAAACCAGGACCGGATGCTCCTCATACGGGTGTTCCATCCGGCTCCATGTATCCACCCATGCCGCCAGCGAGCTACCTGCCCTATCCGCCGATGCCAGGACCAGGCGGTCAGGTGAAGCAGCCCGGCGCCCAAGGACCCGTCAACTACTTGCAGGACATTCCCTTTGAGCTGGCACCCGAACTGGCCACCAAGGATCGATACACCAGCACCCAAATGCAGGTGGACAGCATCCTGGCGCTGCTCACGCGCCAACTGTCCGTGGACGAGCTGGCCGAGGAGTATACCTTCGCCCTAGAGCGATCCGTGCAAAACGAGTGTTACTAGCATTAGTCCGTAGATCCACTGGTTAATATACATATAATAAAACGTTGCTTATTTAATTCTTAATTATAATCTGAAGTGCTCTGGCCATTGTGTCCTCTGTTTGTTGTGAATTGAGTGAGTCATTGAATTCTGCTATCTTTTGGGTTTTAATGTACACATTTTGAAAAACTATACATATATGCACAAGTACAACTTTTTGATGTATCTAGTAGTCCGTTGGCTTTTCGTCGGTCACATTTCAATGGGGACTGCTCATAAGGTGTTCAACGATCCCAGCGTAAATACATAAAATTGTTAGTGCTCTCGTTTTCCAAAATTTTACGTAAACAAAAAGGTTTTGAACATTTTTATTTCGTATAAGTTACGATTTCCCAGCTAAATTCGCAATCCTTACAAATTAACCGAGCCGTTCTGTGCAGTAAACATCAGTCATGGCCAGCTCCAATGTTTCGGACTGGGATGAGCCACTGCCCACGTCGACGGACTCGCTGCCGGAGGAGGAGGATCCAGATGTGTGCGCCGAGGAAAACGTGAAGAAGCGGCAGGAGGAGAACCTGGTCAAGCTGCAGACGTATGTGCGGCGCATGGCCTACCAGCCGTCAATGCCGCCCAAAGTGAAGCCCTACGACGTGGCCCTTTCCAAGCCCAAGATGCACACGCTCGCCGACAACTACAGTCAGTTTAAGGACGTCTACGATCCGAAGCTGCGGGCCAAGCGGATCAAGCGCATGCTGGGCAAATTCAATGCCATTACCACGGAGTAAGTGCAGCGGGTGCATCACTGCAATCACTCCAGTTGATAACCAACTTCATTCAAACAGACAGCTGGAGCAGATCCTCAAGAGCAACAAGACCAAGGAGCGAAAGAAGGAGGATTTCCTGAAGCGCAAGCAGGAACTGTACTACAATATGCTGACCAAGCTGGAGCGCCAGTGTCGCACCCAGTACCTGAACGTGCTCATCAAGAAGTTCGCCAAGTTCATCTCCCACCTGGCCACAACGATGCGCATCCCGCCGCAGCTGGTGGATCCGTATGCGCGCATGCAGCGCGGCATCTTCTGCAACATCCTGCTGGCCATCGGTGTGCAGCCCACCTCACAGTCGGCTATCTACTACACCAGCCAGGACGCCATCGAGTACGATGTGTGCCATCGCCTTGCGCACGCCCTGCTCAGCCTGATAATCAAGGCGCTGGACTCGGCAGCCACAAGGGACCCGAACGAGATGGCCAAACCGGCGGACATGGACTTCGAGATGGACAACCACATCAAGCGGCGGCTCATGTGCGCCGCCGAGAAGAAGCTGTTGTACGAGCGCCGTCGCAAGAAGCCCCAGCCGCAGGGCATTGGAGCCTTCGAGAAGTGCACCCGATATGACTGCGACTAGGACGGCTCCTACAGTGTATTCGTTAACCTTTGGCTTCTATTTATTCTCAGTACAAGACTTGTTCACATGGTCACCTTCTTGTTTTCCCCATGGCTTTGGTGGCGGGTGTCTGCTCCTTTAGCTTGAGGCACAGCCAATTCGCGGGCACCTCAAAGCTGTCCGTGGGATGCTGGGTGTACTGCTCGCAGTAGGGCACGTGCCAGGTGTCTGTCACTTTGCCCGGCTGTGTGCCCAGCCGGTGTCGAATGGGCTCCTTAACTATGATCTGTCCCGTTTGCGTTTGGGTGGCCAGCGAGAACTGGTGCTGCTGCTGCCAGCGGCGGAAGACGGGCTTCAGTTCGGGGCCCAGATGGAAGGCGTGACTGCGCATCAAGTCGCGGGAAAAGAAGTCCGTCTCCTGGCCGCTGCGCAGCGTGGCATACAGCAAGAAGGGATCGTCGTGCGATCTATAAGCAAGAGAAACGAATTAGTCTACCCATCCCTTTCGTATTCGAGATGGGTTTACTTACAGATTGCTGGTCAAGAAGAGGCTGGCATTGCTGTGGACAAAGTGCATGGCCTGCTTGGACCAGTTGCGCATGTGCTCGCGTCCCAGGACGAGGACACGCTTGTCCTGATCACGAAAATGACGCACCACAGTGGCCACCAGATTGGCCAGCTGCTGTGGTGCCTTCTTGGTTCCTGTGGAGTAGGCCACATTGAGGCCATCGATCACACAGTCGTATGGAGCCGTCTTATCCACAAACTTCTTGAACCTGGCCACCTCCTCGGGCGTGGAGCGCTGGAAAACGTCTCGTCGTATGAGCACGCGCTCCAGGAAACACTCGCTGAGACGCCGGAACTCCTCATCGCTGATGGCCACCGGCTGCAGGTGCTGCTGGCAGGACTGGCACTTACCCAGAGGTCCCAAATTGGTGGTTTGAGCTTCCAGCAGATGGGGCACCTGCCTGGACAGTTCCTGCAATCGCACCGCCACTCGCTGGCTGACTAGAATCTCATGGCGTTCGAGGAACTGCAGCAAACGACTAAGCTGGGCAGGAAGTTGGGCAGTTTCGTTGGCCAGACGATTGAGCAACGTCAGGTAGACCTCGCATTTGGGCGGCTTCCGGGCCGTGGCCATCTCCTCCAGCAGGTGCCAGGCCAATTCCTGCTGCGGTGCCTCAACATTAAAGGCCTTCTCCGCCAGCGCGGAGTAGGCGGCCACGCTTGGCGCACTGGTGACCTTCATCATCTCGAGGAGCGGCAGGCCGCGCTGCCAATCGTCACCACTGGTGGCCACCAATCCATGGATCACATTCTCGCAGCTGGTGGCATCCAGGGTATCGTGCTCCGCCTGTAGCGATCGGCAGATCTGCAGTATCTCTGCCTGTTCCGCCTCAGTGAGCGGTCGTTCATGGTAGGCGGCATTGTAGACCCTCAGCAGGCGACCCAGTGTCGCTGCATTGGGCTTGGAGCCCCTACTCCTGAGGAACTCCACATAGTTTTTGGCCAGCGCCAGTTGGCTTGGACCACTGCACACGCCCAGAATCACGGCGTCCACATTGTGCCCGTTGATGTGCTTGTACCCGTCCACCAGCGACTGTCGCACCTTCGCCCACTCCTCACCACTAAGCTCCTGGCGACGCTCAAAAAGATCACTGCGCAGCTGCTCCAGCCGATCTGGCGGCAGACTGGCCGGCTGCGGACGCCTCTTGTGCTGGCTTGCTAACCAACGCGGATGGGCTCGGCCGCCGCCCGGTAGAAGATTTCGTAGCAGGCGTAACTTATACATAATTCAAATTAAAATTAAAATTATTCTCAGAATTCTCCAAATTCCAATAAGAATTATGCCGGCTGGCGGCGATGTGGCCAGTCATACGCTGCACTTATCTAGTGCACGCACCTCACTTGGTATATACCAAATTTAATATACTACGATATTATACATGTATTGCGATCCACGTTATGGCCACACTGCATTGCGACAAAAGTTGCAACTCACTATTTTATCCGGATTTAATTTATTTTAAGCGTTGCGCAGCTGAAAGTAAAGCGTAAATCCTTGAGCAAAATGACCGTAACCGCCACTCCGCTGCCCGACAATCTGCGGGTGAAAGCATTCTCCGAGTACAGAAAGAAGTTGCTGGACCACAAGGAAATCGAGGGACGCCTCAAAGAAAGTCCGTCCATCCGGTAATCTCCCACCAGGCAAATCCGTATTAACTGGCCATTTTCAGAGCGCGAGGAGATCAAGGAGCTGACCAAGCTGTACGACAAGTCGGAGAACGACCTGAAGGCCCTGCAGAGCGTGGGACAGATCGTCGGCGAAGTGCTGAAGCAGCTGACCGAGGACAAATGTGAGACTCCAGCATTCTGTCTAAGATTGACTCCATTCTAGTTTCTTACTTGTCCCACAGTCATTGTAAAGGCCACCAATGGACCCCGCTACGTGGTCGGCTGCCGCAGGCAGCTGGACAAAGCCAAACTGAAGTCCGGAACTCGTGTGGCCCTCGACATGACCACGCTGACCATTATGCGCTACTTGCCGCGCGAAGTTGACCCACTGGTGTACAATATGTCGCACGAGGATCCTGGCGATGTCACCTACTCGGCCATCGGCGGCCTCACGGAGCAAATCCGCGAGCTGCGCGAGGTGATTGAGCTGCCCCTGCTCAATCCGGAGCTCTTCCTGCGCGTCGGCATCACCCCGCCGAAGGGTTGTCTGTTGTACGGACCCCCTGGCACCGGAAAGACCCTGCTGGCCCGTGCGGTCGCCTCCCAGCTGGACGCGAACTTCCTCAAGGTCGTCTCCTCGGCGATTGTGGACAAGTATATTGGCGAGAGTGCCCGTCTCATTCGCGAGATGTTCAACTATGCCCGTGACCATCAGCCCTGCATCATTTTCATGGACGAAATCGACGCCATTGGTGGCCGTCGCTTCTCCGAGGGCACCTCTGCCGATCGCGAGATCCAGCGCACACTGATGGAGCTGCTCAACCAGATGGACGGCTTCGATTCGCTCGGCCAGGTCAAGATGATCATGGCCACCAATCGACCGGACACCCTGGATCCCGCCCTGCTGCGTCCGGGTCGCTTGGACAGGAAGATCGAGATTCCGCTGCCCAACGAGCAGGCTAGGTACGATATTGTGATTGGCTCTTATCTGAAGATGTCTTCTTTGCCAAATCACTTGTGTAAAATATGAATAGGGATTTCTTAGATTAGATATACTTAGTCATACTGATTTTAATGTGAAACCCCACTGCTTTTAGGCTGGAAATCCTCAAGATTCACGCCCTGAAGATCGCAAAGCATGGTGAAATTGACTACGAGGCCATTGTCAAGCTGTCGGACAACTTCAATGGCGCGGATCTGCGTAATGTCTGCACGGAGGCGGGTCTCTTTGCCATTCGGTAAGTGAGAAACTCTCGCCGCCCACGATAGCCTCTCTTTAATGGAATTATTGTACCAATACTTTAGTGCCGAGCGGGAGTACGTCATCCAGGAGGACTTCATGAAGGCTGTGCGCAAGGTGTCGGACAACAAGAAGCTGGAGAGCAAGCTGGACTACAAGCCCGTCTAGGAGCCACCTCCCGCCGCCCATAGAGATAACCATTCACCATTTACACACATTTACAGATATATATATATTATGCCCACAACGGGCTTGTCACACAAAGTCCGTTGCTTCTTCTCCATATGCTAATTAA